TCGCGCCGTCGAGGGGCGCCCGGCCGCTGCGTGGGGCATTCGTTAAACCACAACGCGTGCATATCGTGACAGGAAATGTGAGGCCTTTGGGTTTCAAACACTCCCGGCTGCCGAGGCCTGGCCCCAGCGACACGCTCCAGGCGCAGGCGGCCTCCCAACGTGGCGCCGTGGGCTAACGCTGCTCTGTGAAGAGGCATAAAAAAGAATTCCTCACCTGTCAGTGAGCTCTCGTTTCTAGAACAAATGGCTCTTCACCACCCAGACACAGCCTTCCGGTCCGGCACGGTTCTGACGATCAGCCTTCCTCGGCGGGTTGGCGTTTCTCTTGGGTTTCTGCAGCGGTGTAACCTACAGGCAGGTGTGAGAGGAGAGAGGTGAGCAGGCAGCACTGCGGCTCCAATTAGAGAGATGGGGTTGATTGGGACACCTGGCAGAGGCAGCTGGGCTTCCCCCTGTCACAAAAATCCAGAGCTGGGTGTTTTGTTGTTTGTTTGTTTGGTTTTTTTAAGAACTGGGACCTCTCAATACACCTGGAGAAAAGAAGGCAGAGACCTTATTGCTCTCTACAACTACCCGAAAGGAGGTTGTAGCGAGGTGGGGGTCGGTCTCTTCTCCCAAGGAAGAAGTGATAGGACTAGAGGAAATGGCCTCAAGTTGTGCCAGGGGAAGTTTAGGAGAGATATTAGGAAAAAATTCTTGACAGAACGGGTTGTCAAGCATTGGAATAGGCAGTCCAGGGATGTGGTTGAATCACCATCCCTGGAGGTACTTAAAAGACAGGTAGATGTGGCACTTAGGGACACGGTTTAATGGTGGTTTTGGCAGCGTTAGGTTAATGGTTGGATTCGATTTTAAAGGACCCTTCCAACCTAGACGCTTCTATGAAATATATATCTGCTGGTACTTACAGATATGACGGCTTAAGAGAACAGGGGTATTCTCACCAGAAACGATACCCAAACACACTTCAATGCTATGTAATACTTCCCATGAGCACTGTGTTTTCTCAAACATCATTCAGGTTTATCATCATTATTTTTGTATTGCAGGAATGGGCGAATACAGATTTAGATTCACTTTTGAAGCCACATACTTCTTCAATTTTGGGGATTGTTTGGGGGAACTCGGATGAAACTTAGCAACCCTAAACAATCCCAAACATAGCACTTTTTTTGTCTAAAGAGTAATATCCTATATATTCTTACAGCATACCCAGCATGGGCATTGTTTACTGAATAATACCACATGCAATCTCGTTTGTAACAGGGAGAAAGAAGTTACACTTTAGCAGGTTGCTGACATCACACCAATACTCTTTTTCATAAAACCGCAATATCCAACATTGAACTTTTTCTAGAAAGCTGATTAATTTTGGTTGGGATTTCAGCCCACATCATGCATATTGTTGTTGTTGGAAAAGGGATTTGGTTACATCTGATTACGCAGCTAAAAGCAAGTACAAAGGTGTGTGAGAGAAAAGGAAAAAAAAAATGAAAAAATGCTATATTTAGAGACATTTAAAAATTGTGCTAATATTAATAATTAGACCACTAGAGCATAACAACCTCTCTTAGTATTCTTCCAAAGACATTAACAGATGTTTAAATAGTAGAAATATTAAAAGCTTCTAGGATTAGAAAAATTTTGTATTGGTGTCAGTTGGAAGGAGTGAAAAAATGTCCAGAGTTTTAATTACAACGTAACAGTGAACAGATAATCATAAAAGTGTGTGTATTGTTTTGGATCAGTTGGATTTCTGCCAGTCCATAGACAGACACCTAAGGAAAAATAAAAAACCCAAAACAGGGCAAGCTGAACATGAGACTACCTTTGACTACTTTCTAGTGCCCTTATATAATGCACACAATGCACAGTACCATTTTG